GCATCAAAATATTATTGACAATCCTCATATTGTTTCATGGTTTTTTGAAAAACGATTTAAAACCTTTTTTGAAAAGGTTTTTTATTAGCGACCGAGACGTAGTCCCGGGAGCTAGATTATCGCGAGAGATCATGTAACACAGTAAATGACGTAATGTGCTGGTAAACAATTTAAGAATGATGTGAGAGTATTACGATGATTGTGCTTTCTTTCTGTTGTGGCCCGAAAAGTTTATTTTTCCGGCTTATTCGAGTTTAGCGACAATATGAGTACAATAATAAAAGAACGTTTAAGAAAAACACCTAACAAACTAAGCGAGGACTTAAAACTTAAGCGAAAAGAAGTCAAACGCACACAAATGTAAATCAATACTCTAAGAGCTATTGCGGTCCAACTGGGTGTAAGGAACATGGAAAGTAAAGCTGAACTAATCGAGAAAATAACAACAGCATGTCTATCTATAGCGGAACATGAAATACATAAACTAGAGGAGGAACCTGAACATAGCTTATTACAGCAATATCAAGATAGTACCGACCTAGAAGACGTAAGAATGCAGGAGGAAACAGGTGACCGGGTGATAGGAAATAATGGGCAGTTAAAAAGAACAAAGTCAATATCAGCATCCGATAACTCACCTTATCAGAGTGATGCTGAGCAAACGGACCATAAAAAAAAGAAAAGTAGAGCAACCAGATGGTTTAGAAATGCGAAGCCTATTGGAGGAAATTAAAGAATTAAGGAGGGATATGAGTGATGTAAATAGTAAGATGGACGAGACGTTTACAAAAACAAAAATTGAAAATGCATGGCCAGAAAAATGATTTGAGAAACCACGAGATCAGATGATTATAATACTTTGAGGTCGATTGGGAAAGATCTGGATCTGGCACTAAATGCAGATTCGGCAGAGGAAGCATGTTCTTTTATTGAATTAGCTAAAAAGAGAGCAAAGGACAGAATGACAATTTTAAGAGTAGCAAACGAATATGGTTGGGATGTGGCAGTTGAACTTCCTCAATCAAAGTATAATGACCAGGAAGATGATACGGAGGCAATAAATAATGCACGACAGATAGCGGCAAAAAAGAAAAGAAAAAAGAGACACACAATAACAGAGAAGCAGTTTTTTCGTAGGGATGAGGGATACAAGGGACAGAATCAAACAGAAAGAGGAAACTATTATGAGGCAAGACCATTTGTTAACAAGAACACATTCTACAATCAAAAAACCAAATTTTATACCAAAAACCAAAATTCACGAAACCAAGAAAATGGAGCAGTTATAACTGTGGAGGAATTGGTCACTATGCATTTACCTGTCCATCATTACAAAGTTTTAGATCAGGACAAACAAATGAATCGTTTACAAGATCCAATAATCCACAAAATACAAGTTGACTACACTCGGGAAGAAGAAATAGTAACTGGTCGTTTGAATCAAGTAGGAGTAATTCAATATTGGAAAGAGAAAATAAAGGCATCACCGAGAATCTTAAGCTGGTTTAAAAAATGGGATACCATTATTTCCACGCGGTTTATTACCCCTGGCGAGTTTACCAGTACAAAAACAATATCAGATGATACAAGAACAAGTAGTTTGAATAAGGGAAGAATTAAAAAGATTAGAATCAACAGGTGCAATAAAGTGGGTTGGATCAGGAGAAGAAAAACCAACATGTTTGATCGAAGTAAGTCCTATATTTGTAATCCCGAAAGCCAACAAATCATGGTAATTAGTAGTAGATTTAAGAAGATTAAATCAGACTCTACCAGAAAAGCCATTCCGTTTCGAAGGGTTAGGAGTATTTCTAAAAATGATCGGTCGAAACTGGTGGGTTATCACAATAGACTTAAAGGATGGTTACCATCATTTGTTAATGGAGGAAGAAGCACAAAGATTATTGGGTATAAGATTCGAAAAAGAATGGTTCCATTATCGAGTACTTCCATTCGGTTTAAGCCAAGCAGTATGGATTTTCTCAAAAGTGATGAGAGCACTAATTGGACATTGGCAGTCATTGGGAATTTATTGCAGAAACCATGTGGACGATTTTTGGATTGCACATCCGTCACGAGAAATATTAATTCAACAAAGAGACAAGATAATTTTAATGAATATGAGAGAAGGAGGATTAGTGAGACATATGAAAAAAGGAAATATAGAACCGACACAAAGGCCACAATTTTATGGTTTGATTTTGGATACAGAAAAGGGGGAAGTAATAATACCGGACGACAAACTCAAAAAAGTAAAACAAGGATTAAAAAAATTGATAAATATGGAAAAGTTAACAGCTCGAACATTAGCCTCTACAACAGGAAGTTTAATGAGTATCAGCCGGGCATTTGCCCCAGCAAAGGTTCAATGCTTAGAATTTTATTCAATAATAGATGCAGAGAACAGGAAAAAATGGGAATAGGACAGAGAAATATTATTGACACAACAAGCGAAACAGGATGTAATATGGTTATTAGAGAATCTCAACAAGCAAAATGGACGTCCAGCATAGAAACCATCCAGAATACTTCCACTATATGTGGATGCATCAATAACAGGATGGTCAGTGATACTATTAAACAAAAAGGCCTTTGGAAATTGGGACAAGAAATTCTCTTGTACAAAGATTGCAAAATTGGAAGCAGAATCAACAATGAATGGAATGGAATCATTCAAAAAAGAGTTAACTCACAATTGGGTAACAGTTTTTATTGACAACAAAGTGGCAAGAAAAACCTTCGAGGCTGGAGAAAAAAATATATGGCAAAAGGAATACATGCGAAAAATATGGAATTTTTGCGACAAAAACGATATTTGGGTATACGAATTCTGATGGGTTCCAAGTGGATTAAATCCAGCCGACGAAATGACAAAGTTTTTCGACGATTCAAATTGGGGGATGCAAAAAGAAATATTTGTACATTTGGACAAAATTTGGGGACCACATACAATCGATCGAATAGCCAGCGAAAGGACAAGATTACTAACAAGATTCAATTCAAAATGGCACAGCCCAAATACAGAGGCAGTAGATTGTTTTACACAAAACTGGAAAAAAGAAGTGAATTTTGTTTGCGCCCCATTGAATTTATTGGATCAGGTTTTCAAGCATGTAATCGAATGCAAAGCAAGAACAACAATAATTATTCCAATTTGGGTTTCAGCTCCATGGTGGCCAATCCTATTAGGAACAAATTACGAGCAGATTTTATTAAATCCAGAAAAAGCCTTTGTACCAGTATTAAACGGTCACTTGGAACCAATGAAGAACAGAAATTGGAGATTTATGGCAATACATCTACGCTTTTAACCAATTTATTAAATAAAGCATATACATTGATTGTACCACAAATGACATATGATTACAAATTATTGAGAATCTGGAGTGAATTTAGAGAGTTTTGCTTAAAATATAAATTGGAATACCTACCAGCCTCAAGAGACGCAATTTTATCTTATCTAATTTGGATAAACATAATGCAACAACCTCGGAAAGCAGAAATCTGTCTAATAGCAATTGCTCGACAACATGAAATTTATAAGTTCAGAGATCCAACAAAAGATTATAACATTAAAAAACTGTGTAAAAGACTTCAAAGGCTGGCATTAACAGATCATAAAGCGACATGGCCAAGGGATCCATTACCAATAGAGGCATTAAAACAATATGTTAGAAAACCACCCCATAATGTATCAGCATTGTTATGGGCACGAGATTGTGTATTCATAGCAATTGGGTTAAGAACAATGAGACGAGCAGGTGAGCTAGTAAACTTATGTTTAGATGATATAGAAGAAAGAAACAGTTTATTATGGATTCGGATAAATCATTCAAAAACGGATCAACAAGGAAGAGGAAAGTTTGTTCCGATTGAACCAATAGATTCAGATTATTGTCCGGTAAAACTATGGCATAGATATAAGGAATTGAGAGTACAAATCTCTAAGAATGGA